CCTGCTTTGTCGTTGCGGTTCCTGCTCTCTGAGAGGATCTTTTCCATTAAAGTGCCCCCACTCTGGATGAAGACATTATCAGTCTGGGGGAAGGGGAGTGTTACATGTACTTAGCGGATTTAGGCCTTTCACACAAACGTTTCGATTGAGCCCACCTTTCTGAGCAGACCTGTTTCGAACTTCCATTTTCCTGTATGGAGTGGCAGGTGTAAATGGACATGTGTCTGCTTACACCAGCCTACATCCAATCCTATCCAATAAAAAATAAGTGGATTAGGATCCATTCCCTTCCACCTGGCCATATCAGATCGGATGGCAGTCAGCTGTAAAAGTTCATTTACACCTGACCGACCATAGAGGAGAGCAATCTGTCATCTGCCCTCTCAGTGTGGATCAGAAGACAGAGTATGCCCCTTGTGAAAGGGGCCTTAGATACATTAACAAATTGAATCCAAACTCCAGTTCACACTGCAGTCACACAAGCAGTTACAGCAACAGTTTTTCTACTTTTGGGCTAAAGGTTTTGCATGAATAAATAAAGCTGATCTTTGACCATTGGTCAATGGTTTGTCTAAACACTGTAACTGCTACATTTGCAGGAGAGTTTGTTCTGTTGAAAACCAAGTGACTTACCGGCCAGATTACCAGATGAAAATAAAAGAAAGTTTGAAACAGAAAATTAACACAGTCGTAATTAAGAATTGGTAAACTTCAATAAAACTAAATGTTTGCTTTTGTGTTTAATACCACTTTAATTCACAAAAATGCATGTTCATAACATGCTATCAGCACACAAAACTGCAGGTATTTTTGAAAACCTGTTCAAATGTTTAAGCCTAACACAGTGTCGAAATTTCAGTTTTCTTAAGTCGTATTGGTTAAGGATAAAGTCTAACTGATCGCTGTCTGTAGAGCTCTTTGCATTAAAGAAGTCCAAATGGCTGAATTTCCCGAGGTTGGCCAGCTGAATCTATAAAATTCCCCATGGGCACAACACTACTGTTCAAGCAGTATGGATCAAGACAAGAAATACATTTTAACAGAATTTATGATCTTTCTGGCTAGCTTTACAATGTCATATTTCTAAAACAGTTTATGTCTGACTTGAAAACTTGAACATGTATACATGAAGACAGAGCCAGCACATTCAGTTTGAATTCATGTCATACATTTTTGTCCCAGTCTTGCGCTGACCTTATGATAAGTATGCATAACATGCTCAGGGATCAAATTAAATTGCAAGTTTTATGCATTTAAATTGTCTACATGTTTTGGTTACATTAAGCAGAAGATCACCTTTGTCGTATTTAATGCAATCAAAGGTCAAAAGTGTATTAAATTTAAATCCACCTACATAAATTAGTTATGATAGCAGTATTGCTAAATTAGGGCACCTGACCACATTAATAATGTAGATGGAGAGGGAAATTGAGAAGAAAATAGTGTATTATATAGTAGCATTTCTTACATTAGTCTGTGGAGCAGTTCAGGATTTACAATGAGCTAGCTTGGGTCGTAGCTAGTGCATAATCAACAATGACACCTGTAGCAGTGTGATAAAGCATGTTTTCTAAGCAGGAAACCATGGATAAATTCTGCTGCATTATACAGATATTCATTTACATTTACAAGTATTAAAACCTTCTAACCATTAAAAATTTAAAAAAGGCCTGAGCGAAATTAATATATCAACTAAATGTAAAAATGCATGCAGTTCAATTAGCTCCAGAAAAACATGCTTAAAGCCACACTAACCTCATATGAGGGATGATCAAAAAGTTCACAGAATGACATAGAAAGCATTTTATGAACACAAGGCATGGGCACATTTAAAAAGACACTTTCATCTTGGTCCTTCAACCATGCGTTAGGAGCAAACATCACTTCACTGCGAATAAATTTCATTCCCCACAGAGAGCTTCAGATGTTTGGAAAAATAGAAATCTTGCTTCTGTTGGACCAAACCTTTGGTGGAAATGTTCAATAGGTTTCACTTATGTTCTGTCAACATTCCTTTTAATTTATTTTACATACCACAACCTTTTTCAGACAAAATCCTATAACTAAAAAATGTTTTTTTTTTTAAATCAGCCTATTATTTATAAATTGCATTTGAAATACAGTTTGATAATGCATAACCTTGTGTAAATATAACATGTGAGAAAGCAGACACAGGTTGCTAGGAGTAATTATGTGAATCTTTTTTTCATCTCTCATGTATTGCTTCTGGCTAACTGTGTTTTTTATTATCTTTTTTTACTTAGTTGTGCAGCATGGGGCTACTACAAAGCCTCACCCTTGTATGCTTTTCTTTGACAATGCCTTTACTCCTTTGTAGGCCTTTTTTTTTTGTCTCAGTCTCTTTTATTGGTGAGTCAGCCAGGCCACTCTAGGCCTCTGATTTTTGTTCTTTGTTTTAAAGGTTCAACTAAAATATCTGCATTGTCAGGCCACATTTGCACTACAGAAGAGCATGGTGCATCTGAAGTCCCCAATCTTTAAAGCAAATTTTTCACTAGAAAAAAAAAAATTAAAATAAATGCAGTTGGTAAAAAATATAATTGAAAATATTTACCTATTGAAAATATTTACCTAATCTTTGTTCTCTTGTAGAGTGACTGCTGCCTCTGATATCTTCAGCACCTGACACTTGACACTGATTGTTTTATGTCTACATCCCATGCTGCTCATTATGGTTCCAAACAACTGCTTTGTATCACTAGCATGCCAGGGACACCCAGACATGTCCTGGACACTAGCATGTCCAGGGACACCCCCAAAAGAATGCTACAGATACCAGTGGCAACAGTAGTTCTGCAAGACAGTAAGATTGGGACCATCACCTCTGAAACTGGTAGGTAAACTCTATGGGCAATAATTTTGTGGACACTTGACACTTACAGTATTAATAATTTTAAAATTGACTGCTCTTATTTTGCTTTTAATTCTAATGATAAGATCACTTTCAGAATATTCCAGATTCTGTTGGCTGGTTAGTTAATGCCTTGATGAAACGTCTGCAGATTGATGACCATTTTTCCATTACGCCCCATGGCTCACACCCATAGAGTAAAATGGATTTGGCATTATTCTCAAAACATCATTAGCTTTGTTCTTCAGTTTGGCTCAGGAATTATTGATCCTACAATATATGTCTTCTGTGACACATTTGTATTTGCTGTACAATGCTGCCCAAATAGCAGTGCAGAACTTCTAACTCCCATGTTGTTCAAGATCATTGGCTCATTGATCCTATTGTTTGCTTTTATGTCCTTATTTTGGTCCTCATATCCAAGCCCTGTTAATTTGCTTATTCCATTACATCTTGCACTTTGGACTTGCTGTGTTTCAATGTATTAAAGATAGGGGAAAATACCACAGGCAAAATCATGGTCTCCAATGTGGTCTTCACTAGATGCTCCCTTTCTGGTCATTCAGCATCTTGTCTATGACACCCTTCAAAATACGCAACTTCTCCAACTAACACTGGACTGGACAGCAAAGTTTTATGTTATGTACTACAAGGCATCTATATTTTTCTGAATATTAACTTTACATGACCATGAACAGCAGGACAATTCATAAACAAGGATTATTCACACTCCGCACTACTCCACTGTAACTTGTATTTTGTTAAAAGAGAAGTATGAACTTTAAAAAAAACATAAACATTTACACTCACCTACATGGATTCAGCATCAATCCCAATGCTGCAGCTGTCCTTTGTTGGCTCTGCAGCGAGAAATTGAGCAATTCAAAACACCACTGATCACTCATTTTCCCTCCTCCACTCCACTGTTAGTCACTGGCTCTCTGCTCTACCTCTCCAGTGCTCACTAGAGTGCTGGGCTGTGGAGGGGGCAGGAGGGGCTGCCAGTCCAGACTTCTGAGTGAATCCAACTATATGGTTACAATCTGTTCAGAGCCTGGGCTGGCTGAGTGACACCCCGCCCGGCCGCATTATCTATTCATAGTGTTCTATAAATGGGAAGATTACTAGAGATGAGCGAATCGAACATGACGAAGTGGAATTCGTTCCAAAGATTTGGAAAAATTCTATTCGCGACGAATCCGAAGATTTAGCAAACTTCGGATGCACGAATCGAATTTTCCCAAAAATGGCGGCGACATGTGTGGCGACGGAGAAAATGGACAGAGAAGATGGGGCGGGGATCTCTGGGAAGGCGCGCAGAAAGGCGCGCTGACCCATAATGCATTCATGACATGTGATCGCATTAGCCAATCAGCAGCCAGCCAGCACTGTGTAATGGTGGAGCTATAAATCGCGGCCATCTTAGAATTCTCCATTAGCCTCCGGTCATTCAAGAGAGACAGACCTGTGTGTATTAAGGGACAGAGTTAGGGCCACAGAGACTTTAGGGCCACAGAATCGTTACTCAGGGACACAGAATCGTTACTCAGGGACACAGAATCGTTACTCAGGGACACAGTGTTCAGTGTTGTGCGCATTAAGCCAGACACCAAAGGGCAGCACAGACCTGTTATTACTCGCGTTCAAGCATGGCTGAACAAAACCAGTCTCTACCACAAATTGGACCCAGACCTGCCCAGGGTCTCGTAACTAGATTGCACGGAGGAGTAGAGTCCGTTTATCGGAATTAAATAGACAAAACGCCACACCAAAAAGAGTGGCCATTTCCAACACTTATTCCAGAAAGAGGAACAACCCGTTTCATATACGGCCCGTAGACGTTTCACGTCTGCCACATTCAGTCGATTTAAGACGCAAGCTCCACTTCCTGTGGTCTCTGACGTCGATATACCTTTAAGTGTCAGCTTTGAAGCTATATTCCCTCTGGAGCACTGACACTGGTGCCCTTCCGTCAACATGCCTTTAAGTTTCAGTTTTCAACCATATTCCCCACAGAAGCCAAACTCTTGGGTATCCCAGAAGCTGCTCAGCGGGTCAGGGCAATAAAGCTCCCGGTTCGCAGGTTGTTCCGTTCTTATGGATGGAAGTACGACGGTATATGATGATCTTCTTCGCACCCACGGCATTACCTCTTAAAATTTCTGCATTGCATCTGCAATCACAACGCTGACTTCCCGGATCGCCACTCAGCCATTGGACTCTTGATAGTCGTTCTCCCCACACTGCTGCTGGGGGGACTTTTTTAACCTAGGCCTGTGTATGGCCTTCAATTGAAGCTGCTTCCGCTCCGCCACTCTGCCATGGGCCTCTTGGGTATCCCAGAAGCTGCTCAGGGGTCAGGGCAATAAAGCTCCCGGTTCGCAGGTTGTTCCGTCTTATGGATGGAAGTACGACGGTAGGGGGGTATATGATCTTCTTCGCACCCACGGCATCACCTCATAGAATCTCTCTGCATTGCATCTGCAATCACAACGCTGACTTCCGGATCGCCACTCAGCCCATTGGACTCTTGATAGTCGTCCTCCCCACACTGCTGCTGGGGGGACTTTTTAACCCTAGGCCTGTGTATGGCCTTCAATTGAAGCTGCTTCCGCTCCGCCACTCTGCCATTGGACTCTTGATAGTCGTCTCTCCCCACACTGCTGCTGGGGGGACTTTTTAACATAGGCCTCTGTATGGCCTTCAATTTAAGCTGCTTACGCTTCGCCACTCTGCCATGGGCCCCTGTACCGCCTCCTCTTGCTGCTACCAGGTCCAGAGTGTGTCATGGGTCCCTGTACGGCCTCCCATTGCTGCTGACTTCATCGCCAGACTCTGCCATGTGCCACTTTCAGGTCTCCTTACACTGTTGGTGGGTTCCATTTTGTGATAGGGTGCTGTATGGCCTTCCATTGCTGCTGCCTCCACCGCCACCCTGCGCCATGTGCCTCTGTCGTCTGCTCACGCTGCTGACGGCTTCCGCTTTTTTAACCGAGGCCTGTGTTTTGGCTTCCGAATACTGCTGCATCCACCGCCACCCTGCGCCATGTGTCTCTGTCGTCTGCTCACGCTGCTGACGGCTTCCGCTTTTTAACCTAGGCCTGTGTATGGCTTCAGAATAATGCTGCCTACACCGCCACCCTGCGCCATGTGCCTCTGTCGTCTGCTCACGCTGCTGCCAGGTCCATACTGATTCATGGCCCCCTGTACCGGCTCCTCATGAACGTGGTTCAGCGGGTTTGCATCACTTAACGGCAAATCGTTGACAAACGCTGGGACGTTTCAGTGTTGTGCGCATTAAGCCAGACACCAAAGGGCAGCACAGACCTGTTATTACTCACTCAAGCATGGCTGAACAAAACCAGTCTCTACCACAAATTGGACCCAGACCTGCCCAGGGTCTCGTAAGTAGATTGCACGGAAGGAGTAGAGTTCGTTATTGGAATTAACTGTGAGGGACTTTTAAACCTAGGCCTGTGTATGGCCTTCAATTTGAAGCTGCTTCCGCTCCGCCACTCTGCCATTGGACTCTTGATAGTCGTCTCCCCACGCTGCTGCTGGGGGACTTTTTAACATAGGCCTCTGTATGGCCTTCAATTTTAGCTGCTTACGCTCCGCCACTCTGCCATGGGCCCCTGTACCGCCTCCTCATGCTGCTGCCAGGCCCGTAATCTGCCATGGGCCCCCGTACTGACTCCTCATGCTGCTGCCAGGCCCGTAATCTGTCATGGGCCCCTGTACCGCCTCCTCATGCTGCTGCCCAGGTCCAGAGTGTGTCATGGGTCCCTGTATGGCCTCCCATTGCTGCTGTCTCCATCGCCACACTCTGCCATGTGGCCACTTTCAGGTCTCCTCACACTGCTGGTGGGTTCCATTTTGTCATAGGGTGCTGTATGGCCTCCCATTGCTGCTGCCTCCACCGCCACACTGTGGCTCCACACTCTGGTTTTGGCCCCGTGACTGCCCAAATGAGTGAAGTGTGCGGTGATTCTAAGATCGACGGCACTCATCTGCATGTCATACTGACTGACAGTATTATTTCTCTTCCCCAGCAGACTCCAAGGGCATTTAAATTAAAGGTACAGTGTTCTGCACTAATATAAAAGGCTCTCTGAAGCCTAGAAAAACACCCTTTTTATAAGTTAAATTCGCAGCGGATATATTCGGCTCGAAGCGAATTTATTCGGCGAATCAGCCGAACCGAATTTTTTGAATAATTCGCTCATCTCTAAAGATTACAAGTTCCGACAGCCTTTGCAGCTGTCAGCTTGTAGTTCTCAATTAACTATCACCGTACTGTTAAGCACTGTGGGTAGTCAATTGATTCTTCCTGTCAGTATACAACTGTCTGCTTGTACGGTGTATGGGCAGACAACTTACACAGACAGTCTGCAGGAGACCTTCATGGCACCAGCAATATGCTGATCGCTGGTGCAATGTTTTCCAGGTTCCTAAAACAAAAAATAGTAAATGCACATTTTTTTACTTGCCAAAGGTGAACTTATCCTTTAAGTACTTTTCTTGTAAGTTTGAGTAGGAGTAATTTCTTCCACCCCTTTTGGGTTTTGTATTTTTCCCAAATAATTCTGAATAAGAGAAAAAGGAAAGAAGCTTTGTCTGCTTTGAGAACCTCTGCTGAAATTAGATCCATGGTACTCATTTTAATAATTTTCAAGTGGCCCAGACAATTTCTCTAAATTTGCGATTTCTCCCAACCTTGGCTTCTGCCCTAAAATGGTGCCGTGGTCTCTCTCTCTCTACTGATTTAGCCCAGTCTGGAAATGTTCCTTTACCTATGAAGCTGATCATCATCATTCATCATACACTTTCTCTCTCTTTTACTGTTCAGTCTTTGTTCAGCAGGAAACATTTGCTCAGTTGTTTTGTGATATTGTACTATTCACAACTCTTCTCCATCTTCCTTGCTTACAAGTTTTTCTGTCCACTGCCTTGTCCAAAACCCTGGATTGACAACTTGCACTGGCAGTTACAGTGGGGGAAAATAAGGGTTGCAGCTCCCACTGCTTTGGGAGAACACAGTGCCTGCAAAAATTGAGGCTAATCAAAGTAGAGAAAAGGCTTACTGTACAGGCTAGAAAGAGATTTTTTCTGTAAACAGAAATGGTAGAGATTTCTTTAAAAGCATGCTATTTCCAGCCTTTCTGAGGTTGCCAATTAATGAGGATTCACTTGGCTGACTTAATGAGTTGGAACGTGACCCCTGCCATCTGTGCACAATTTTCTCTCATATAACAACATTTAACGATATATCAAGGCACTTGGCAATATATTCTTCTTTCCTGTTCAAACTTCTTTGGATGTAGACAATGATCTTTTACCTCTGACTCTCTGCAGCTACCAAGTAAAGCCCTCCTGATTCATACTTGGTTATGGGATTCCAGATTCTTACTGTCATCATTTTTATAAAACCGAATGTCAACCCGTCATCATTTGATCAGTTCTAATTAAGGTGTAGCAACCTCTAGTTGGCAACTAGAATAGTATAGTGTATCATAGGTAAAGTCAGTGTGTATGACTCATGGTAATTGTGTGAGTCTGTGATCAGGTTATTGCAGGTCAGCTGGATGACTTAACAGGTTGTGGCTCTATTGCCTCCTTCTGACTCTGGAGGACCATAGAACCTTCTAGAAGTTGGTAAGCAGGAAGGGTGGAGACCTAATCTGCATGTTCATGGGAGTCCAGCCAATCCCAGGTTTGGAAGCCCTGGTAGAGTGGTGGGCTGGCCCATAAATATGGGAGAGTCAGGCTGACAGAGGAGTCGGGTGGAAGATGGAGTGCTGAGGAGACAGTTGGAGCCTGGAAGAGGTCCCCTAGGTCTTGGGGGGGGGGCAGCATCCAGGCTGGGCTTGGGCTAGCTCAGGAGAATACATTCAGCATTAAGGCATGAATGGGATCAAGATTTGGAGCAGCAGGAAGCAAAAGAGGACAGAGTGAGCACAGTAGCACTCTCTGGGATCTACAAGGGGAAAGACTGTCACACGTAGCAAGCTTTCTAAGGACAGTGTTGGGTTCAATCCTTTATCCTTGTCTGGGAGATCTTCAAAGAAACCAGAAGGGCTGGTAGTGTTTTCAGGCTGTGGAGCTGGGAGCAGCTCTAGAGGGGAAGAGAAGACATCTCTGCATGTAGCTACGAGGAGTTAAGCTGTGATTTTTGAGGATCTGCTAGTTCCTCACCCATAAAGGGGCAGCTGCTACTGATCTGCAATGACTGATAGCTTTCAGGAAAAGAGCAATTCATGATCTGTCTTTGTGCATAGGAAGGAAATGTACCCCCTTCATTGATTCAAGCCAACTGGGCATCCCATAATCCCTATTTCCCTATCCAAGTTGATTTCCTCAAATAAAACAACAAAACCATGCCTATGGACTAGTCACTGTCTTTTGGATGCAAGTCTGTGTGAGAAATACCTGTTTGCCTGGCTATGCGAAGGGAAGAATTAAGGGTACCAACAACAGTGGCGCTCATGAGAGTAGCACTACAATGGCATGGAGGATAGTTTAAAATTTATGGGTTATAGGCCTTCAGCACTCAAGAATGTATAGGAATGCTGCATTTGCTTGGTCTCTTCAAAAGTAGTTATTGTATCTTCATACACACTTCTGCTTCTCCCAGTGGTTTCCAAAATGATGTCATGCACAACCCCCCAGAAAAGTCATACACTTCTAGTACACAGTTGACGCACATAAGATTTACAATATTAGAACCATAATCGATAGGGCAGATCTACAAGGATAAAGCTGGGTCAACTGAGGAAGGTGAATATAGCAACAACAAAACAATTAAAGCAGCCTTACAAATATCTTTATAAAGACAAGTGTGATGAACGCGGTGCCCGACCCCTGTCCTTCTCACCAACTCGTGACAAAGGACTGACCAATCTCATATCGTGCTGTCACTTATTAAGAATGCCACACTCTGCTGCACCCTGCACAAAGATTTGTCACTGGCTTATGTTAACTAAGCAATTAAATTTTTTTAAACTCCAAAGAGACAATAAAGCAACAGAGAAATAAAAAGTAGTTGAAAATGAAGAATACTTGCAAATCCCTTGGTTTGGAGTTTAGTCAATAAGCAAGGTGTTATCAGCTTTCATTACTTAATAGATTTTTCCTTATTTGATGGTACACAAGAGCTAGTCAAAAAGGTCCTGACATTCTCTTTTTCTGTGGTATTAAAGGGGTGTTGATAGAGACCATCTAACCAATCATCCTGTTTAAGGGGTGGTGGCTGGGAGGTCACCACATTTATGACCAAGTCCCAAATACAATTTCTTGTAAGTATTCATATTTCTGAATACCTACCATTTACAGTCTGCTACAATGCAGATATGACAGGTCCCGGATATCTATTTCTCATAGGTGGGGTGTGGAGGCCTAATCCACTCTGGTACCTCCTAGCATAGACGATGCAACAGGAAGAAGGGTCAGCTGCACACCGGAGGATTGATGAATATAGTGTATATTAATTGATCCACACAAAACACCAGGACATGAATACAGGACCTGTTAACGCATTTCACACAATCTCATGCTTTGTGTTTTGGGGGGATGGCATTTTACATGCACCAAAATTCACAGTGCTGAAATTGGGTCAGAGACGTTTCCACATTTCTAGTGCATAAAGCAGCCCATTGAAATGAATGGGCTGCCCTACACGTGGCATACATCTTTATTCATCCCGTCAGTACACCTTTGCATCCTAAATTTCCCTACTAACCTCTGCACACCAAACCACCACCACCACCTTATCTCT